GCCGTTTTTCAGATATGCCCTGATTGGATCCATCCAGGTTGAGCTTCTGTCTAGGATTCCAATAGGGTCCTCCTCGATGCTTCTCTTCTCCATTACTTCCCAAAAAACAATTCGAGGAGTATCACAGGAGGTGGATGATGCTAATTTTGACAGTGCATCCGCCTGGTTGTGTTCTGATCTCGGCACTTGGGTCAGATGGAAATCCTCAAGGGAGCCGACTGCTTGTCGGACCGCCTGTAAATACTTGATCATGGCCGGATGGGTTGCTTCGTATTCGCCATTGTACTGACTCACTATCAATTGTGAATCGGAACAGGCGTCTATTTTTCTTGCCCCTGCCGCCTTGCACATGCGGATTCCGGCTAGTAAAGCTTCATATTCTGCCTCATTGTTTGAGGCCTGAAAACTGAAGCGTAGAGCATACTCGTACCTGTCGCCCTCTGGCGACTGACATATGACGCCTGCTCCACAACCATTTGAAGTAGAGCTTCCGTCCACATATACCTTCCAGACTTGGTCTGTAACATGAGAGTCCGGAGGACGAGTCATCTCAACAATAAAGTCAGCAAAGGCTTGCCCATTCACTGCTTTTCTAGGCTCGAAAGTAACTTCGAGGCTCTGAATTTCTATGGCCCATTTGATCATTCGGCCTGACGACTCCATGATGGTCAGTGGCCGCTTGATAGGTTGGTCTGTATACACGACGACTGCATGTGCCAAAAAGTAGGGCTTCAATTTTTTAACAGCCATGAAGAGTGTAAGACCAAATTTCTCCACTAAGGGATACCTCAACTCGGCATTTTTCAGTACGTGACTGACAAAGTAGACCGGGAGCTGACAGCTGTCTCTTTCAGCAAGGAGAACAGCGCTTAACGCATGATCAGAGACGGCCAGGTACATGTAGAGTACTTCTTTGGGCAAAGGGCTGACCAGCCTCGGCAAGGAATGCAAGTGAACTTTCAATTTCTGGAAGGCGGCCTCAGCATCCGGCCCCCATTCAAACCTTGCCTTTTTCTTAATTGCCTGGAAAAAGTATAGGCATTTGTCGCCTGATCGGCTTAGAAATCTTCCCAAGGCCGTCAGACAACCTGTTAACTTCTGAACCTCTCGGATGGTACGAGGCGACTGCATGTCAATGACCGCCTGCACCTTCTCAGGGTTCGCCTCTATTCCTCTTTTATTGATAAGGAATCTGAGAAATTTCCCAGACTCAACTCCAAAGACACATTTCTTGGGATTGAGCATGACATTGTGCCGCCTGAGTGTGGCGAAAGTTTCTTGGAGGTCCGACAGATGATCTTTCTGAAGTTTAGACTTGACAATCATATCATCAATATATGCCTCGACATTTCTTCCAATTTGATCAAAGAACACAGTGTTTATCATTCGCTGGAAAGTGGCCGGGGCATTCTTAAGACCAAATGGCATGACCGTGTAACAGTATAACCCCTGATCAGTGACGAAGGCCGTCTTCTCCTGATCTTTCTTCCATAAAGGAATTTGATGGAAACCAGAGTAGGCGTCCATAAAGCTCATCAAAGCATGGCCGGCTGTTGAGTCGACCAGGTAATCAATTTTAGGCAGAGGGTAACTGTCTTTGGGGCACGCCTTGTTTAAGTTTGTGTAGTCTACACACATTCGCCAGGTGCCATTCGGCTTTTTAACAAGCACCACATTTGCAACCCAGTTTGGGATGTAACATTGCCGAATGAACCCTGCATCAAGTAATTTTTTAACTTCGGCGGCTGCCGCCTGACTTCTTTCTTCGCCATGGTTCCGCTTCTTCTGCCGTACCGGCTTCTTTTTCGGATCCACGGCCAGTTTATGTACCGCCAGATCAAGACTAATGCCTGGCATTTCATGGACTTCGAATGCAAAGATGTCCTTGTATTCTTTCAATAGTTTGTGAAAGTCGTCACCAAGGTCTCTCAGAGCAGTCGTCCCAACTGTGACTGTTCGCTCAGGACGTGAGTCGTCTAAGATCAAGTCCGTATGCTCACCAGCCGGCTGAGGGCGGATTTCATCCGACCGCTCCTCTGCCAATGATTGCTATTTTTTGTCTTTTCTTGCAGCCCCCGTCTGGGATGCCTTTCTCTTCTTGTCGCCTGCTTCTTGAACAGGCGCACTCTCCTTGACATTGTCAAGGTCTATTTTTCCACCACTCGACCCAGTGGCCATAACAGTGGGCTTGACATCCGAGAGATAGCACTCTCGGGCCATCCTCTGATCTCCCCTTAGGGACCCGACTGTTCCATTATCCCTCTCAAACTTGAGCAACATAAGAGATGGGATTATAACAGCCTTGGAATTATTCAGGGTTGGTCGTCCCAGAATCATGTTGTAGGCCGAGAGTTCTTTTACTACCAGGAACCGGACTACCATGTGTCGTCCTTCCCCTTTTTCGCCTAGGCGGATGGGTAAATCCACTCGTCCCACTAGGTGGACGACTCCTCCTCCAAACCCTACTAAAGGGTGGGATGCCGAATGTATGCAATCAGTCTGATATTTTAGTTTCGACAGACATTTGCTACTGATGAGATCTGAGGAGCTTCCGGTATCTATGAGGATTCGGCCAACTCTCTGGTTGTCCACTTTACATTCAATAACGATAGGGACGTCATGCGGCCCTCTTACCCTTCCTAGATCTTCTTCAGTGATGACAATCTCAGGAAATGAATATTTGGAGGGGCGTTCTTGGTGAACGGAATTTACATCTAACCGTCTGATATTGTCTTTGTTTCCCCTAATAGTGGGGCCGCTTCCTGAGAAGCCGCCTGCAATGGTGTAGACGACTACATCATCTGTATCGGAGCTGTCGGCCTGTTGATTCTTTTTGGCCGACTGCTAAATCGAGGAAGTGTTCCCCGTAGATTTTTTGACATAAGTGTCAAGATCACCTTGCTCAGCCAGGCGGTCCAGATACCGCATGAGACTGATGCATTCATTGGTGTGATGACCAACATCTTCATGATAATCACATAATTTTTCTTGGTTCCGACTGTTTGTAGAACCCTTCATGGGGACCGGCTTCTCAATTGAGATCCGTCCCTTGATTTCCTTTAGGATAAATTGGATATCCTTGTTAAACGCATACTTTGGGGAGTATGGTTTGAATTCTTTTTTCTTTTTCTGGGCCGGCTGTTTAGAGGAATCAGTCGCCCAGACCTCTTTTCTCTTCTCGTCTTTGTTGGACGACTGCTTCTGTCGTCCTTCTCTTTTGTCGGACCTTTTCCCGTCCGACTGTTTTACCGTACTACAAAGATGAGTCGCCTGTATATAGGCTTCCGCTTCAATCAAGGCCTCTTGAAGAGTCGCCACCCTCTTTCGGACCAAATCAAATTTGAAGGTCGACCCGTCTTTGAGACCTCTGAAAAAGTCAGTATAGGCTACTTCATCCGGTAACCCTTGAATCTGTGTTCTCATCAGGTTAAACCGCCTGATGTAAGAACGAAGACCCTCCTTCTCGCTCTGCTGAATTGTTCCTAAATCAAGGGTCGTCTTCTTCGCAGGGATGTTCATGGCGAAGTTGGAGGTGAATAAGTAAGCAAGCGTCCTGAAGTTATTTACACAACCAGTCGGCAGGTTGCCGAACCATTGTTGTGCGATTCCTTTGAGAGTCGCTGGGAAACACTTGCACCAAGTGTGATCATCCAACCCTTGAAGGTACATCAGGTTGGTGAATGCCTTCAGATGGTCTTCTGGGTTAGTAGTGTCGTCATAGGCGCCTACTAATACATTTTTCACTTTGGCCGGCTGAGCGGCTTCAGTAATTTCCTTGGAGAAGGCCGACGGCTGTTCACCAAGTCTAAGCAACCGTAGCTGCCAGTCCATAGGTTGGACATTTTTTGTTGCATGTCCACCAAACGGAGGTGGCTGTAAAAAATACTGGTGTTGCGGTACAAACGGTAAGTTTGTTACCGCCTGGTTGCTATGAAATCCGGACTGACGGGAGGTGCCGCCTGACTGACTCTCATGATACGACTAAGTATGCCTCATCGAGGTATTTCGCAGACTGTCTTGGAAGTTTGAAGTAGAGGCCGACTTTGACAATCGGTCACTCTTCTTCTGCTCTAGCAGTAGCCGAGCGTCTGTGTATGATTTCCTCGACCCGTCCGCCTGAGTATGACGAACAGGTTTCCTATTTCCTGGAGTAGGAAAACGGTATTTTGTGAAATCAAGGGCAGGTGGCTCCCGCTTCCTAGATTTAGGATGAGGAGTCGCCTCTCGCCCTTGAACTGGCTTCCTCTTCTGTGAAGTGGAGGGTTTCTTAGCCGACTGCTCCTTGTCCAGAGCAGGCGGCTTCTTGTTGATCAACTCTTGAATTTCTCCCTTGAAGTCCCTCATGAAGGTCATGAGTTCACTCCTTGTGATGGGAGCAGACCCAGAATGTGGTTGCGGAATTTGTGGCAAAGTGTCTAACTTGTCAGAAAGTGAAGATAAAACACAAAAGACCGCAAGGAACTGTGCAATCATTGGAAATTCCTGGATGGAAATGGGATTGTATTTCAATGGACTTTGTGACTTGCCTCCCAAAGTCAAAGAGTGGAAATGACACCATTTGGGTAGTGGTGGATATACTTAAAAATTCTGCAGTGCTCATACCAATGAAGGAGACCTGGAAGATGGAGCAACTTTCAAATTCTTACATAAAAAATGTGGTAAGATTACATGGAGTTCCAGAAGATATTGTGTCTGACAGAGATTCTAGGTTTCTTTCAAAGTTCTGGAAGAGTATGCAGGAAAACTTTGGTACAACACTTAAGATGAGTACAACACTTTACCCTGCCACATATGGGCAAACTGAGAGAACTATTCAAACCCTGGAAGACATGTTGAGGGCTTGTGTTATAGATTTCTAAGGGGGATGGGAAGATAGCTTGGACTTAATTGAATTTTCCTATAATAATAGCTACCATGTAAGCATTGACATGGCTCCATTTGAGGCATTATTTGGAAGGATGTGTCGCAGTCCGATCTGTTGGAACGACATAAGTGAAACAATGATTTTAGGGCCTCAAATGATCGAGGATACAGTTAAGCAGGTAAGGGAGATTCAAGCGGCACAAGATCGCCAAAAGAGCTATGCAGATTTGAAGCGTAAAAAGGAGGAATTCGAGGTCGGTGACAAAGTATTGTTAAAGGTGTAACCAATTAAAGGTGTAATGAGATTTTGAAAGAAAGGAAAGCTTAGCCCAAAGTATATTGGTCCATATGAAGTATTGCAAAGGATAGGCAAAGTAGCTTATAGGTTGGCCTTACCTATGGAGCTAAGTAAAGTGCATAATGTATTTCATGTATCTCAGTTAAGAAGGTATATCCCTGATAAGTCACATGTGCTACAAACCGAAACCATTCAGTTATATCAAAGCTTAACTTATGAGGAAAGACCTGTCAAGATCCTTGACAGTAAAGTGCGTAGTACACGCAATAAGGAAGTTAAGATTGTTAAAATGCTATGGTCTAACCAAGAGTATGAAGAAGCAACTTGGGAAGCGGAGGATGAGATGAAGAAGAAATTTCCCGAGTTGTTTAAGGTATGGTGAGATACGGGGACGTAACTCGTGTTCTTTAAGGGGGGTAGAATGCAGTAGAATTTCGCGCGTTTTCCCTATATTTTAAGTTTTTTTTGTGCTTTTGCACATTTTTTACGGTTATTTAAAGTAATTATGATTTCAAAGAGACATTAAAGTCAAAAGTATGACAAAAGAGTACAGCAATATTATATGAAGTGAGGAAAAAGTTTGAATTTCGTCACCCAATTTTCGGGACGAAACTTCTTTTAAGGGGGAGGTACTATAATACCCCGTATTTTTATAGGTATTTTAACTTAAATAATTATTTCTTAAAGTATTTAAATAATTGAAAATGAATTATCTATGGTGTTTCATTAATTTAAAAAGTATTTTAATTAAAAATTTATTTTTAATTATTTAACAATCTTGAAAATATTTTATTTTATGATTTGAAAACTTTGGGGCATATTATTTTATAAAAGGAAATTTTTAAAGTCAACGAGTTTTTAAGGAAAGTCAAAATATTATTTCAAATAGGAAAGGGATCATTAAGAGTAGTAAAGGAATTTTAAGTAGGAGGGTTATTGAGAGAGGATATAAATACCCATCATATGAACAAAATCAAACTTTGCCCAAGGTAGAGAATACCCAAAGGTAAACTCTCTCTTTCTCTCCTCTTATTTTCTCTCCCCTTAGTTTTTCCCCTTCCCCTTTATTTTTATTTTTGTTTCAATCACCACCCACACATACACCACCACCGGCCAGCCACCACCACAGCCACCACCGGCCGGCTGCCACGACCAGCGAACACTGACAGCAGCAGCACCGAACGGCAGGCGCGACAACAGCCTTGTCGCGGTGATGCTGTGCGCACAGCTTAAAAAAAAAATTCTTTCTTTTTGATTTTTAATTAAATCCACCCTTAATCTAATTTTTGTTTTTGGTTTTTGTGATGATTTTAATGATATTTGATAATAAGTATTTTGTATATAAATTTTACGATTTGGTTTTGAATTAAAAAGCCCCAAATTATAAACCCTAGGTTTATAAGTTTATGAACATTCATGGAAATTGTTTATGGGTGATTTAAATTATTGAAATAAGTGATTTAAAACACAATTACAACAGTTTTTAATGATTTAATAAAGCTGGATTTTTTTTATATAAGCTATAATTATGTTTCTTGAAAGGATTTTTAATTACCCATTAATTGGGAATAAAAGTAAGGGTTTTAAACTAAATTTCAGCTTGTTTTAAAGGATTTATGAGTGATTTAAGGAGTGTATATATTGCTGGAAATTTGTGTGGAATGGGTATTGTTTCGGGGTTTTCTGATGTCCTGCGGGAGAGTTACAATTCCGAGACTGGAACCGGACGCCTGTACCTGCAAAACCACGGAGACTCCTGGTGGTGGGAGCTCCGCCTCCAACGGTCAAGTTAGTACTTGATTAAGGAGTAATTAATGCGGAAATTAAAGTGATTGGGTCTCTCTAGGTGAGAGTGTTTAATGTGTGTAATCTGCGTTGTTCGCGTGATCTGCATGTAATCCCCCTTAATGAGGATTAAGGGAGGTATTTATAACCTCGGGAAACGTGCGAATCTAGGTTTAGGTTAACCTTGGGCTGATTGGGCTTCCCTCGGAAGTTGGGCCTAGGTGACCGGTTATCCCAGGTGTCATGGGAAGGACACGTGTCGTGTCGTAATTGGTCCAAGGTGGACGGATCATTGCTTGACACGTGGCAGGTTCCTATTGGCCCATGTGACAGACACATGGCGGAACCTGATTGGTCCACTTGTCAGATGGTGATTGGTGGGAGCAAAATCCCCTAATCATTTGCCCCTCACAGGTGGCACTTTACTGGTCACGTGTTACCTGTGGCAGGTGTCGCACTGTAACAGAGCGACGGCCTGCTACAGGTGTCACTCGGCGAAAGGCCGAGAGATTCTCCCGCCCAAATTATGAATTTTGGAAGTGACCCTTCGCCTTCTCACTTTGCCTATATAAAGGAGTGTTGACTTCGGTCATTTTCACACTTGAGAACTTTGTGAGAGAACATTCGGACCCCTGAACTTGCTCTGACATTTTGGACCCTTTCTGCCTACCGCCTGCTCTGACAAGCCGACTGCACAGGATTTTCAGAACTCCATCAACGTCACTCGTTCAGGTAACCGTCGGTTCTCTTACTCTTAATTTTCTCTTTACTTTATTCTTTTTTGAAATGGCACCACGGAAGCACACGACACGACCTAGGTTAGTGATCAGCCGGTCATCGGGGACGGCTGAATCTAGGACTAGGAGTGCCGCCTGCCCTTTTCTGGACCCATCTTTGCCCTTTATACAAAGTCCGACTGTATCTGTGTCTATGCAGAGCATGATGGCCAGGACAAAAAAGACTTCCAGGATCTCAAACTCAGACGGCTCCTCCCACAGGGTGCTGATTAGTGAAACATCTGACCAGGCGCCAGATGTGGAGGTGAAACAAAGCGGCTTGAAAGCCGGCAGTTCTGAGGGAGGAGTCAAAGTGACCCCTTCCCATTTTACAGTTGACAATTCTTCATTCTCTCCTGCTCCTTTTAAAGGAGAGGAGGCGGGCCCCTCCGGGAGAGGGGAAGAGTCGTCCTCTTCGGACTCGTCAGAGGACGATTCCGAGTCTACCTCTTCTGGCCATGCTTCTCTGGACATAGAAGAGAAAAACAGTCGCCTGCAGGAGGCGAGGCTTTCTCACGCAGTTGAGAAGGGGGACGATTGGGCGGAGCCATCCGCCTCTCACCGAGAGCAAAATACCCCCTACTACTGCACGGTACCTCGGGGCCGGATCACAGCCATGCAAGAGAAAGTGGAGAGCTTTATCGCAAACCACACAATGGGCCCCGGCTTTTTAGTGTTTGTGCCGGATCCTGAAGACACAGTCGTCTGGCCGGCTGGTACCAGTTATGATAGCGCCTGCTTTGGCTGCTACGAGGCGGCCATCAAGGCTGGGCTACGCTTCCCACTATATCCGGCTGTTCAGCGGATCTTGGATGGGTATGAGTTGGGGTTATGGCAGTTAGCCCCGAACTCCTGGGTCAACGTACTCGGCTATGTGGCCGGGTGCGAACTGCACGGGGTGGAGCCGAGCTTCGAGGCTTTCGCCCACATGAACTACCTGAGCCGGACCCCTAAGGCAGGCGGTACCGGCTGGTATCAATTGAAGAGCCAAAGGGGCTACCTCATGACGAGAGGTAAAGCAAACAAATGGAAGGACTGGCGGAGAACCTTCCTTATCATTGAGAGTTCAGACACAGAGCTGAACAAACGCTTCAACAGGTGGAACAGGAAACCGCCCCTTCTTGCAGGCGGCCGCAGCATGCCGCCTGTTCCCCCCAAGGCTAAGAAAGAGATCCTAGATAAAGGACTCTTCAAAGTAGAGTCGAAGGTGAACCCTACTTCAGGGGTACGAGAGCAAGTACCCCTGCACTGCGTCCCGAGCTTCAAATGGCTCTACGACGAGTACTTTTTGGCCGCCTGTGGACTCAGCAGTCGGTGCTCAAGAGGTAGCCGACCTGTCGAATACTCTGCTTTTCCGTGCATTTCTTGTTATGACTTTTATTAACTTTGCTATTTGTTTTTGCAGCGGACGCCATGAGCAAAATTACCGCCTCCAAGACTGCGGCGGCCATGTTGCGGGCCTCCATCATGAAACAAGCTTCAACCGACTCCCCCAACAAGGGGGCACCCTTGGTGGGCTTCGAACCTTTCACCCTCTTTTTGGAGTTGTGTTTATGTATATACTGACTCTTTTCTTCTTTTTTAGACGAGCGCTCCAAGAGCTTCTTCTTCCCAACAGCCGGACCCCAAGGCCCGGAGGACGACTGTTGCGAGCTCTCCTGGTTCTGCCAGGAAACATGCGGCGGCTGAGAAACAGCCGGCCACTTCTTCTAAAACTCCAGCTGGGCCACCTAGAAGTATGAAATTGTCCTTGTAAATTTTAGACTTGCTCCCTTCTTTACTAGGTCTAATCCGTTTGTTTATGCTTGATGCAGCCGGGCCTAAGGAGCCTGACTTGGTCGAGGTGGCCAAGTCTATGATCAGGGCCGTTCCTCCAGCTGAAAGGGAGGCGGTCAGGGGTGTCGGCACCCTTGACCTAGACGGGATTGCAGGGGTCCTTGCTGAGGTATACTTAGCATATTTTTGAGTATTTGAATTCCAAGACGCCTGTTTTCTCTTTTTGTTTAGAAACTGACGCCTGTTCCCCTTTTTACGTAGGACCTGCTCCAAGTGAACGGCCTTCGCAAGCCTCTTGACCGGATGAACAAAGAGGTAAAGGCTGCAAAAGCTATGGCCGCCTCTGAATGTGATAAGGCAATGTTTCAAATTGCCCAAAATGAAGTTCTGACCATTGATATTCTTTATTATCAGGCGCAGGCTACCGCCGCTATCCGGGCTCAGTTAGAGGCGGCCCAGAAGAGGAATAGCGAGCTGGAGGCGACCATCAACAACCTCAAGGCCGAGCTGAGACCTTTTCGCCAAAAGATGTCCTCATACGAAACCTTGGAGAAATCCTTGGCGAGCGTAAAGGTACGCCTGGTGACCCAGGAGAAGAGTCTTACTCAGGAGCTCTCGGAAAAGGCCGAGCAAGAAAAGAAAGAGCTGGTCCGGGAGATGATGGAAGACTCTGCTCAAATTCAGCGCATGACTTGGGGCCGCCTATTCCCCAATGTCGACTTTGCCTCATGGGAAAAAACGTACCGCCAAAGTTCTGATAGATATAATCAAGAGATCCTGGCGGCTGCTGAGGAAGAGGCGTTGGAGGACGCGTTGGAGGAGGAGGAGCAGCCGGTAGTGGCGCTTGTGCCGCTTGGGGGTAATGCATCAAAGAAGGATGCAGCTAAAGCCGAGTCCAACAAGAAGAGTGCTGACCAGGCGGCAGCTGTTGTTATTGAAGATCTGCCCCCTTCTTAAGCTTTATGTCTTCTTTCCACGGCCTGCGTGCCGTTTGTTTGCATTTACCCGGCCAGGGGGCCGGGGCTCTGAATATTTTGCCGGTCTT